AGTGGTCACATTTACAGTCAGGGCATGTCCCAGGTGGCTTCTTAGGGCAGTCCCTCTTGAGGTGGTCTGGCTTTTGACAGCGGTAACAGATGAATGTAGTCGATGAGTTCTTCTCGGGACCCCGAGAATCAGATTTAGGGTCTGTTTTGCTTAGTGCTGCAACAAAGGCAGCTTGTCATACATGTTAAAAACACTTTTTCTCCCCTGTCTGATAACACTGTGACTGTAGGAGGTCATAATCATCACCACAGCCCAGTATCAAAGGATTAGGAACTGAGCCAAATAGTAACCTTTCATCCTTTACAAACTGGGAAGCGAGGCTCTTGGGATAGCTATAACAAATCACCTACATCTAGAAGACATCCCTGAAGAACAGACACCCTCTAGGGAAACCTAAATACTAGCAATAAAGCTATGAATCATAAGAAATTTGGAAAGTATCAACATAGAAAAGAAAATAAAAAAGGGAAAATAGAAAAGGACAAGATGCAGAAGCAAAATGCAACCCCAGACACCCAGCCCAACCAGGACAAGCCCAGAACTTACGGAGACAGATGAAATTGGAAATGAAACATTGGAACTTTCTGAAATGATAGCACCAGAAGTAAAACCACAAGTGGAAAAGGCCATGGAAAAAATAATTCTCAGGTACAGAAAGAAAACATGCCTAAAATCAACGATATTAGAGAATACACAGATAAAAGAATAGACGAGCTTAGAACAATGATGGAAACAAATAATGCCCAGCATAGGAAAGAAACAGAATCCACAAAACAGATCCAAATAGAAATCTAAGATTAAAACCTCCAGTGAAAGTCTATATTACAGGTTGAACGAAGGAGAAGATAGGATTTCAGATCTTGAAGAAAGAATTACAGACAGTGAAAATGAAAAGACAGACATCTTAAAATTAGCAAGACACTGTGAAAAATCAACCAAACAGCTACAAGATGAAGCAAAGAAGACTAACATAAGATTGATTGCAGTCGATGAGAAAGCTAGAGAGAGCACAAATGACATAAAAAAAATCTTCACAGAAAGAATGGTAGAAAACTTTCCAGTGTGGATAAAAAATTCGACAGACAAATAAATGAAGCATTTAGAACTACACCAAGACATATAATAATCAAGATTCCAGAAATTCAGCACAAGAACAAAATACTAAAAGTTGTTAGAGAAAAGAAAGAGATCGCCTATAAAGAAAGGCCAATCAAAATCACAGGAGACTTAACACAGGCCCTCAAGTCAAGAAGCGCTTGGAGTGAAGTATTTCAAGTTCTGAAAAAACACAACTTCCAGCACATACTGATGTACCCTGCAAAACAATCTTTCAAAATTAATGGAGAAATAAGATACTTCTATGACAAAGAACAACTGAAGAGATTTATGAACACGAAGACAATGGTAGAAGAAGTACTAAAAGATATTCTAGACAGAGATAAAAATGACCACAATTCCAAGAACCACAACAGAAAGAAACTACAAGGCAGGGCAAACAATTTGCAGGGAACCAACATCAGGAAAATAGGGAGACCAAGATAAGCCAATATATATCAGTTATAACCATCAATGTAAATGGCCTCAATTCACCAATCAAAAGAAACAGACGACAGAGTGGATCAAGAAACAAGATCTAACAACATGCTGTATAAAAGAAACACATTTAATGCAAAAAGAAATTCATAGGCTAAAAATCAAAGGACGGAAAACAATCTTCCCCATAACAGTAACCCAGAAAAAGGCAGGACTAGCTATTCTGTTTGCAGACAATGTGAACTTCAAATCAAGAGTGATCAAAAGGGATAAAGAAAGTCACTACATGCTTGTTAGGGGGAAACTTCAAGAGGAGGGATAATAATTATAAATATATATGCACCAAATACAGCAGCACCCAACTATATAAAACAATTATTAATAGACATGAAAAATCAAATAAGCAATAACACAACTGGAATGGGAGACTTCAATACCCCACTGTCACAAAGAGATAGATCAACTAGACAGAAAATCAGAAAAGAAATAACGGAACTGAACCAAACCTGTGAACACATGGACTTCTTATATGTTCACACATGTTCCAACCAACATCAGAAAACACATTCTTCTCAGCCGTACATGGGGCGTTCTCTAAAATAGAACACATAGTAGCCTACAGAACATGCTTAACTAAATGCAAAGGAACTGAAATTATCAATAGAGCCAAAGAAAAAGCCAAACGATCATTTCAATACACATAGAAAAAGCTTTTGACTAAGTCCAACACTCATTCACGATAAAAACCCTACAAAAAATTGGAATACACAGTCTTGACTTCACTTTGATCAAAGCAATCTATGACAAACCAACAGCCAACATCATACTAAATGGACAAAACCTGAAAGCTTTCACTTTAAAATGAGGAACAAGACAAGGATGTCCACTGTCACCACTCCTATTCAACTTAGTTCTGGAAGCATTAGCCAGAGCAATTAGACAAGAGAGAGAAACAAAAGGAATAAGGATAGGAAAGGAAGAAGTGAAATTATCATTATTCACAGATGACAAGATACTCTATATGGAAGACCCCAAAAGTTCCAGGACTCCTGGAATTAATAAACAAATTCAGTAGCATAGCTGGATACAAAGTCAACACTCAAAAACAATAGCATTCCTATACACAAACAAGAAACACACTGAGAAAGAAATTAAGGAAATCAAACTTTTCACAATAGCACCCTAAAAATGTAAATATTTAGGAGTCAATCTAACGAAAGAAGAGAAAGAGCTATACAATAAAAATGACAGTACTCTGAAAAAAGAGATCAAAGAGGATATCAGAAATGCAAAGATATCCCTTGCTTGTGGATAGGGAAGAAGCAACATTGTGAAAATGGCCATACTCCCAAAATTGTTATACAGATTCAATGCAATCCCAATCAAAACACGATTAGTATACCTCTATACCTCACAGATTTACAGAAAACATTCCTAAAATTCATCTGGAACCAGAAAGACCCAGAACAGCAAAAGCAATCCTGGACAACAAAGGTAAAGCAGGAGGTATCACAATGCCTGACTTAAAATTATACCACAAAGCCACTGTGATAAAATCAGCATGGTTTTGGCAAAAAAAAAAAAAAAAAAAAAACAGACCAGAGGATCAATGGAACAGACAGGAAGACGCAGCCACAACCACAAACACACTCAACCACCTTACCTTTGACAAAGGGGCCAAACAAGTTCACTGGAAGAAAGATAGCCTCTTTCATAAATGGTGCTGGAAAAACTGGCTCACTACATGGCACAGACTGAGACTAGATCCATGTCTATCACCATGCACCAAACTAAAGTCTAAATGGCTTAAGATCTAAATATTAAAACAGAAACACTAAATCTACTGGAAGACAAAGTAGGTAAAACTTTGAAGACATAGTGGTAGGCAGAGAGTTCATGAACAAAAACCAAACTGCACAGGAAATACTGCAAAGTTTCTCCCATTCTATAAGCTTTCTCTTTACTTTGTTCATTGTTTTCATTGCTATGCTAAAGCTATTTTATTTGAACCAGGAGATTAGGGTGGAGGGAAGAGGGTGTAAAGAGTTCAGATGTATTATATACATATACCAACTTTCTACAAGGAATGTAAGTCATTGTGCACTGTAAATATGGACTCCTAAAAAGTTCATTTGATATAAACCCCATATGGATCTAGATGCATTCTTTTGTAATTGATAACAAGTTTTCCAAATACTATTTGTTAAAGAAGCTCTCTTTGCTCCAGTGTGTAGTATAGGGTCATTTTCAAAAACCATATGGCTGAAGCTACTTGGTGTGTTTCTGCACCCTCTGTTTTATTCTGTTGGTCAATGTGTCTGTTTTTTATTCCTATAGTATTATAGTATAATTTGAAGTCAGGGAATGTAATGGCTCTTGTCTAACTCTTAGGAACTCTTGTTTGTTGGCTATATTTGGTCTCTTACCATATAGATATCATATAAATTTTAGATATTTATGATATCATATAGATATCATATAAATTTCAGAATTGTTATTTCTTTCATTTTATTTTAAACATAAAAGAACCTAAGCATATTAACAAATGCACAGACTTAAACAAAACAACATAAAAACAGTAAAAGCAATAAAAAATTTCAGGCAAGGTGATACAAAATTAACAATGGTTGTTGTATTGCATATTGTTATCTCCAAATTGATTACTCAGAAGAACAAAATATAGGCATGTAAGAGTGATCAAACAATTAAACATTAACTGTTCCTTTCAATAAAGCAATAGAAATTAGTAGTACAATTATCTTAGCCAACTTGTGTGGTGTATGTGTATATGTATATATATATATATATATATATATATATATATATATATATACACACACACACACACACACACACATATATTTTTTCCCTTCTTCCTTTTCTCTTTTCCCTCATCCCATTCTTTCCTTTTGAACAGTTTCTTTTCCTTTCATAGTATTTATTGCACCTTTTAGATTTTCTTTACATACGAGTCTGATTTATTTCACTTATGAGTATGATTCCTAGACGTATCCATTTACCTATAAAAACCTCGAGTGTGTCTTTCTTTATAGCTGAGTAATGCTCCATTATATAAAAATACCATAGAATGGACAAATGCTTTTAAGGTTGCCAGCATTTATGTAAAAATTAACATTATGCTCTGCATTTACTTAACAAAGTTTCAAGTATAGGCTAATCTATTTCTCACTTTGAAGCAGGCTCCCTAAAACACTACCACTGTACACATAAATAATCAGCCTTCTACATTCTTGTTTGTTTGTTTGTTTGTTTGTTTTTGTTTGGTTTTTTTGGTACCGGGAAATGAACTCAGGACCTTGCACTTGCCAGGCAGGCACTTGTGCTGGTGAGCTATATCCCCGGTTCTATATTTTCAAGACTCTATATTCATTGAATTGGTCCTCCACAAAAAGTAGTTTTCTTTCAAATCACAGATCAAATAGTACACCAAACATTGAGATACTTACTTAAGATTCCTTCTACTGCATCATGCTGAACAAATTTTATGCTTGAAATTTTAATATCCACACCTGTGCAATCCACAAAAGTGTCTCCTTTACCCCTCTTTTCTATTACAATATCATCTGGTAGACCATATCCTAAAGAAGAGAGCAAGAACACTTAGGATGAAGGGATAATCTAAACACAAAAATGTTAGAACAGATTACCCTAGTTTAAATGATACCAAATTATAATTTGAGACCAGTCAATCTCATTACATTTAAACAAAATCTATGGGGCCGAGGATATAGCTCAGCACTACAAGTGCCTGCCTGGCAAGCTGAAGGTCCTGAGTTCAATTCCTGGTTCCAAATTAATTAATTAATTAATTTTTAAAAACTCTATCCCTCCACAGGTAATGTTAAATGTTAATGTTAAATGTTAATGTTAAACCAGGATATCCAAGTTTTAACAGCCCTGTTTAGCTACCATGAGAATGATCTTAGACCAGTTCAGCACAAAATTCACTTTATAAAACGGCTATAAATATAATCATCAGGACACACAGCTGGCTCAGAAATCTTTAAAGCACTCAGCCTTTCAAAGTTTTTCCTAGCTATAATATTCCATGACTATTAATATAATCTATATTTGAAAAAACCAAGCATTTCTCAAGATTATCTAACAGCTGCATTCTGTTAAACACATTGATTTAAACTGATTCCTAACAAGGTCACTACTATCTTGCCCAAAATGATCTTAAACTCCTGAGCTCAAGAAATCCTCCCATCTCAGCCTGACCAGTAAGTGTGACTGCAGGTGTGTGCCAATGCTTCCAGCTACATCTTAATCTAGTAATATAGCTCAAGCCTCTGAATAAGGTAACAAAAAACTGGAAAAATCAGAAAACTAGAGAACTTGCTTCATAAAACAAAACCACATACACAATGCTGAAGACTAAAACTAGACCCATGTCTATCACCCCAAACTAAAGTCTAAATGGCTTAAAGATCTAAATATTAAAACAGAAATACTAAATCTACTGGAAGAGAAAGTAGGTAAAAATCTTGAAGACATAGGGGTAGGCAGAAAGTTCATGAACAAATACCAAAGTGCACAGGAAATACTTCAAAGAATCAACAACTGGAATCCCATCTTATTGAAAAGTTTTTGCACCTCAAAAGAAATCACCAACAGAGTAAAAAGAAAACCCATGAGCTGGGAAAAAATTTTAGACAACTGCCCCTCAGACAAAGGACTTCTACCTGAACATATAAAGAATTAAAAAAAAAAAAAAATCAGACCCCCAAAATTCTAAGACCTAATCCAAAGTTGGGCATCTGAGATGAATACACACTTCTCAGATGAAGAAATACAATGGCAAATAAATACATGAAAAAATGTTCAACATCATTAGTCATTCAAGAAATGCAAATTAAAACAACACTCAGATTCCATCTCACCCCAGAAAGAATGAGTATCATCAAGAAATCAACCAATAACAAATGCTAGAGAGACTGTGGGGAAAAAGGAATACTTCTCCACTGCTGGTAGGAGTGTCGATTGGTAAAACCACTGTGGAAATCACAGTTTGGAGATTCCTCACAAAACTAGGATTAGAAGTACCACTTAATCTAGCTATTCCCCTTCTCGGTATTTTCCCAGAAGAATTAAAAATGTTATACCACAGTTTTGTATGAGCACCCATGTTTATAGCAGCACAATTTGTCATAGCTAAAACTTGGAAACAACCCTAAAGTCCATCAACTGGGGAATGGATAAAAAAAGATGTAATATTTTTATAAAATGGAGTATCACTCAGCTATAGAAAAAGATAAACTAGAGGTTTTTACAGGTAAATGGATACAACTGGAGTTCATACTCTTAAGCGAAATAAATCAGACCACATGCGTAAACATCATATTGTCTCCCTAGCATAAGAACCTGAAAGAGTAAATAAAACCCAAAACATATAATAGATAATATGAAAGGGAAAGAAACTGCTCAAAGGAAGGAACAACTGGGATGGGGGAAAAAAAAACAAAAAAAGAAGGAAGGCAAATTATATATATATATGAATAGCTGGGATAACTGTACTGCTGATGTCTGGTGGTTTATTGAAAGGAACAGTTAATGCTTAAAATTTTTTATATTTTGACCAATTTTGCATGCTTATATCTGGTAGTCTGAACAACTAATATGAAGACAATATGCAATATAACAATTGTTGAATCCCTATCATCTTGTTTAGTGAAACCCTGTATCATTTCTAATAGGGTTTTTTGTTTTTATTTTTTATTCTCTTTAATGGTTTGATCAATCTTGCATTCTTACATCTGATAATCTGAGCAATCTTGTTGAAGATGACATTAGGTAATATAACAACCACTGTTAATTTCTATCGTTTTGTTCTGAAACCCTGTATCATTTTTATTGTTTTTGCTTTGTTTTGTTTTTGTCTATGTTGTTGGTATTTTACTATTGTTCTTTTTTTATTATTATTCTCTTTAAAATTAAAAAACGTCAACATACAGAAAACTATAAAAAATAACTCTTACTGTCTGAGCTGGACTGTGGTGGCACACACATGTAATCCTAGCACTCGGGATGCTGTGGCAGAAGGATTGTTATGAGTTTGGGAACAGCCTGAACTACATAGTGAGACCCTGTCTTAAAAACAAAAACAAAAACAAATAAATAAATAAATAATTCTTATTGTCTAAAGAAGAGTCTTTGTTTGAGTAGATGAAACTAACTAACTACATTAAACAGAAAAAGCCACTTAAAGAATACAACAAAGCCAGGCATGTGTTGTATACCTGTCTGTAATCCTAGCATTCTGGAGGCTGAAGCAGGAAGGTAGGTCCAAGTCCAAGGCCAGCCTGCACTACAGAGCAAGACCTTGTCTCAAAAAAAAAAAAAAAACAACAAAACAAAACAAAACCAAAACAACAAGCTTTTTGTGGCACTGGAAAATGCTCAAGAACTTTATACACAAGAGTGCTAGGACGATGGACACTGGATGGTTGGAGTAATTTTGTTTGGGATTCTTCATATGTGTCTACCAGTAATTTGTGTATTTTCTACAATAGCATTGCTTTTTATCTTCTGAAAAGTTAAAAATATAAATGTATACTGAGCAAAAAACAGACTATATAAACTATGTATTCTTCATAAAAACATAAAACTGTTAACAAACTGGGTTTTCTAAAGAAAAGCCTATTGCAATTACTATTAATACCTTGAATATAGGTATTTAATATATATCAGTATAGGTATTTTAATACATATCACTTATTACAAGTGTTAGCTATAGATCATTATAAGCTTTAAACTAATCATGAACAAGTACTCCACATCTTCATACTAGCAATAATGTCTAACTTACCAATTACTAATTTTACACTTTCATTTTTACTCTTTCTATGGGGTTATGACACCCCAGCAATTACATTATTTCTTCACCATTATTTCTTCACCTCTTACCTAATAAGTAATCTATAGTATCAATGCTATTTTCAGTATGCCAAAAACTAGTGCTTTTATTGCAGTGATTTATCCTATAGATGTGTCATACATACCACACACATTTATTATAAGTCAAATATTAGCAAGGAGAACAAAAATTACACATGTAAAACAAAAAAGGGGGTGAGACGATACAGTAGTCAACAGCAGGAAATTAAACTCCCAACCAGCTTCTAATAAGAAGTTTTAGTGGGGCATAGTGGCACACTCCTATAATCCCAAGAGGCTGAGGCAAAAAGAACACCATAAATGTGAGGCCAACCTGGGTTACACAGTGAGTTCAAGACCAGCCTAAACTACATAGAGCAAGACCCTGTCTCAAAAAAAAAAGTTTTAAGATGATAAAGAATATAGTTTAAACAGTTTGTAGATTTCCAGGAAGATTGTGAAGTGGCAAAAAACAGAAACAGCTTCTCCGCAAGTTGGTGTCCAGACACTGGAATACAGCAACACGAGGAAGAGAAGAGAAAAGTGGGTCCCATGGACCTATGAAGGATTTGAACAGAGAAGAGAACTGAAGGCCATGGGGAGAGTGAACTTCAACAAAAAACAAGGGGGAGGTGGCAGTCGCACCTTCTCCCTGAGTCAAGATTCACTGCAAGGGAGGAGTGGTTCAAACCTGAAGACACAGAGTGACCACTGGCGACCCCAGCAGCCTCCAGGAAGAGATGCAGCAATGCAATGGAGGAATGGATGCTGTGGAATGAACTGGCTGGAGATACAGCAGTCCAGCGGGAAAGGCCGGAGAGGGATTAACTGAGCATGGAACTCGAACACCTGCTGGCTCTATCTAATGGCTCCCACTGAGTTCAAAGCCAAAGAAGGTGTGCTGACCGCTCTGCACTAAATAGGTCTGATTCTAGCCTCACAGCCAGAAACTAGCCTGAACTTACGGGTAAATAAAGGTGCACCTTCACTGAAATCATCGACCACCTCACCATAAAGCTACTAAGGGCTTGCTGGAATAAAGCAACATAGACCTAGAATCTATCTCCAAATATTGTCAACCACTGACAGCAGAGACAAACCTTGGAGTGGAATTTTTTTTCTCTCTCCTGTATTTTTCTTCATTGTTTGAGCTTGCTTTTATATGAGTGTGAACATGGTTTCTAGTTTTACTGTGGTTGTTGTTCTGCCTTTTAGTTCTTCCTTTTTGCTTTCCCTCCTGTCTGCACTAGTTTCTCAAAGTTTGTGTGATCCTACTTTGTCCTCAGCCCTGCTTCTAATCTCTTCTTCTATTTCTCTATATTTTCCCTTAACCCCTTTCAAATTTTATCCCCTGAGAGTAAAATTGGCATAGTGTGGGCTTATTTACTGCATACAATTTTCTGATTCATTTTAGATTTTGTTATATAACCACAAACATACTTCATACGGTTATAGGTGGCAAATTAACACTCACCTCAGTTTGTCATTTTCTAGGCTGTGTTTAATGCTATGGTTATTACTGATTGTACCACTTTAGCTAAAGTCACATAAATGTTCTAACCAGTTCTTCCTCGTATACCAAGACTGAGATTGCTTAAGGATAACAGAAAATAATGAGAGCCAATACCAAAGAACCATGGGCTGGGCCAAGGTGGCAGCAACTTCTTATCCAAAATAAAGTAAAGAAGCAGGTTTTTGCAAC